TTTGTCTGGAGAATCATTGATGCCTGCATTCTTCCTCTTATCCTATACTGCTCTTCTGCCATTCCTCCTGCTTTGCCCTACAAGGATCTTTCAATTTTAAAACGAGTTCTTCGAATACTCTCTTCTGCCGCTGCGGGTTTTTATCTTTTTAAGTCAATACTATTATACAACGGTATTTCAATAGGTCAAGCAATTTGCTGGTCAGATTATAGGTGACGTTGCCCATCCCTTGCATTCTAATCTTATTTCTGCGTAGTCTTCCCGCCCGATGCGCTGCGGTTTCCGACTCATGTCTTGTCGCACATCGGCTTTTCGGGCTTCTGTATTGCCATTCCTGGCGCGCTATCGTACGTAAGAAGAAATAGAAATACAGAACCAAAGGCGTGAACTATCCTCATAACAATCGTTCTTTTCGTGTTAAAGTTTTTGACTCTGACTCTATCAACTTATTTACTGCCAATAGTGAATGGAGCCAATTTTAGCTGAAAATGTTGAATTTATGATTTTGAAATAAAGCGAATTCTTTTCTCTCTCTCTCTCTTCGTGCCCGCGTCGCCACGCCAACAATCAACAGCCCCCGACTTGCCCATGATGACAGCGGACGTTCCGGACACCAATCGATCTCAGTGGACATTGTTGTGCCAACTGCAGCGCTCGGTCGACACCACCCGATTTCCCTTGTCCACCTCAGTTTCGCCCCTCACGCCGATAATGAACAATGACCGCATTCCTGAACATCTACTGCCACCCTCCTCCGTCGCCTTAACAACCGCTAGGACAACCCCTGCATTCACTATCACTGCACGCACTCTTAACAAACCGACAAATATCAACCTCACGGCCGCCAACACCAGTAATGTGGACTCGGTTCATACCCGTCCTAATTGCGATCTCACCTCTGCCTTCCAAATCGGTCTGGTCGGTCATTTGCGAATCCATCGCACAGAGACTGACGAACCAGTGCCTGGGGCGCCAACATACATTCGCCTAGTCCACCTTCACTGACCACACTTCCCTAACACATTCACTCACCGCATTGGCCTTCTAGAGCACATGAACATCTGCGAGTGTGAAAGCCATAGCAGTCACGAAACAACTCGCAAAAACAAGGATGGTATCACCCCAGCGTTTGACCTATTCGGCTGCTAAATGTTTTGCCGTACGATATCACAGACCTTCTCACATGACCAATCCCTCTCCTCTCATAAGAGAGTTTTCCGCGCTTTTTCTGCGTTCATACCAGCGATCAACTGTTTGACAAACACTGCGCGCTCGAAGTTTCCTGCCTTTATCACTTAATGTTTGTAGCCCTGAATGGCAAGAATCGAATTTGTTACGAATTCGACGATACTCTGACCGGATTCCTGTCGCATCTGACAAAACCGATTGCGGCTCAAGGAGATGTTGTGTTTTCCTCGCACTCTGACTCGAGCATTCTGAATGCTCTTTGAGAAGCAGTTGTCTTTTGCAAATTAAGGACATCGGAATACCGCTGTTCCACCCTCCGAGATTCGTCCGGAGGAATTACAATTTAGAGGTAATATGTACTGCAATCGTAGGCGATAACATCGAAATCAGCTCAATACATCTTTAAATGTCTTTATCCATTGAAATCACGAGTCACTTTAGGGTTTCCAAGCGTTTCTTTGCCAGGAAAGTAAAGGCAAAAATGAACCTCTGTCCGTGAAGCTGCGTCATCAATGAAGTGTTCACAAAACAGAAGACTGGATGTAGCGAGGATGCGTATTGAGACGGGAGACAGCACGAATGGTGTGTCTTGCAGACAGGGCTGGGTATATGGTATGGAATGAATGCCATTGGCTGAAGGGTGCCCATTCGACGCAAAGGTGGTTCGAACGCGTATATATGACCTAGATCATTTGCTCGTACCGTACATGTGGCTTGACGCCTTGACATTACGGGATGCATACATTATACGTCTCGTACAAGAGTGCTGTCAGGACAGCGTCTCTGTGCATCCTCAGCTGTATACTGAGTAGGTGTCCTCGACAGTTACAGGGGATGCTATAGACGCTTGAGTGTCTGGGTGGCTTTGAGGGTCCGACATGGGACTCAGCTGTCAAGCATGATGATTTCTGAAATTGTACGCCGCCTCCCGCTAAGCAACTATGTTAACTAGTGTGGCGGGCTCCATTAAAATTATGCGGGATTCGTGGTGGTCGCCATTTGGCACCGGTTACGACAGAACTATTGTCTTCTCCGTTTGGGGACGAAGACAGGCCGAGTTACGAATGACTGGGCGGCGGCTGAGCTTGGATACATTCAAAAAGGATTTTATATGACGGATGTTGAACAGTTTTCCGTAGGCCCTAAAGCAAACGTCGGGCCCTGGCAAATCTTCGTGGTTGGCGTTCATCGGTTAAGCGAAGAACATGAGACTGATTACGTGAAAGCAAGTGAGCCGACCTAACTCATCCCATTGGTCTCCGCGAATTTTCCAGAGACGACCCCGTTGTCCGTGACTCACACCATCCATTCATTGTAGAGTTGTCTGACCATTTGTGTGGATGGTCCGGATATCCGAAGTTCAGAAGGATTCTCCAGGTACAAATAAATGAATAAAATATTTTATCGAGCACACTCGAAAGTGCTTTCATAGCAAGTAAAAATAAATTTTCAAGTAAATTTTGAATAAGTAGACAGATGCCGTTCGGTATTCAATTCACGGTTGCAGAACAAACGGTCGGCGAGCAGTGGAAAAACTCCGTATGAACAAGGCAAAACAAATATGAATTGATAAGCTCCTAAGGATAAAAAACTGCCGTTAATGAAAGTGTAATTTAATTTAATTTAATTTATTAAATGCCAGTTTACAGGCATTGTCAAGGGAAGCGATCAAACACAAATCCGACCAGCAGTGAAAAACTCCTGGAGAATAAAAATATAGTTGATGATGTTTTTTATGGTTTGAAGGGTTCAGGAGAAAAAAAACTGCTGGCGGTATATTTTCGAACGTCAAGAAGGGGTAGGGAGGGGGTTGCACGGTATCGGAGATCATCGGACGTCAAATCCTTTCATGAAGTTGGGGATAGTCAAAGTAGAGGCGTTGAGGAACAGCTGGTGAGACCGGCCATAGTGTTTAGAGACCACAAACGCCATCGCTACGGTACAGTCGATCAGTGGATTCGGAACCCAAAATTTGAGGAAGCTTTTCTGAATGCAAAAATCGAGTAATAGTTCTCTTAAATAAAGGAAAATTTTGCAGAGTTTTCACAGTCATGGGTAGTTTATTCCAAATAGCAATTGCATTTACAGAAAAGAAACGACGATATTTAACAGTACGTGCCAGAGGCAGAAATAAGAAGACCTCACGGTGACTGTTACGTCGTGGGTGGATATGATGTCTTAAAGAAGTGAGCGGGTTAAATGTGTGATTATATAAGAGTTTAAATAGCAAAAATAGTCCCTTTTGTAATCTACGGAACCATAAAGGATCAAGGCCCGTAAACCGGCAACGTTCCTGGTAAGACAAATGTCGGTGTTCCGCGGCTAAAATTCCCTTGGTAAAAAAGTGTTTAACGGATTCTATTTTCTTCCGCTCAGTAGCACGCATGAGGCTAAATGAAAACGAACAGTATTCCAGACCAGGTCTAACGTACATGTTGAAAAGGCGCATTCTAATGTCTCTAGTTTTAAATTTTCGGAGGATAAACCCGGTCGTTCTGCGTGCTTTCGAGACTATCAAGGTACAGCGCTCCGAGAGATTGAGACTCTTGGAGTATGATATGCCCAGATCCTTTATAACCCTGGGCACATTTATGGAGTGAACTTCAATATTTAGTTGAGGTTGGTGGTCGTCGCCAACCACCATGACTGAGCACTTATGCCAAGAAAGGGAAAGGCGCCATGTGCGGCACCACAGGGCGAAAGCCTGTAGGTCGCTCTTTAGGAGCTCAAGCACGATGTCACGATCTGCCGGCTTATATCGATAGGCAACTTTAAGATCATCGGCATACATGAAAGGCTTACCATTCTGAAATAAATCTGGTACATCATTAACGAAAAGGCAAAATAAAAGCGGGCCGAGTACACTACTCCGAATGACTCCACTCCTCACACGTGTGGGGTTGGAGATAGTATTGGAAATCTTAACTCGTTGTGTGCGAGTGCCCAAATAAGAGGATATAAAATTCAAAAGTTTGCCACCTATTCCGAAAGAGGACAGCTTCTGGAGAACACGATCAACACGATCAAAAGCCTTAGTGAAATCGAAATATACTGTGTAAAGTGCAAAACCATGGTCCCTAGATTGGAGAACATAGTCAAAGAAAGAGAGTTGACAGGTGTCACAAAATCGAGCTTTGGGGAATCCATGCTGAGCAGCACTCAGTAGGTTATTCACTGTTAAGCGACGCATCATCTTATCCTTGATCAATGTCTCTAAGATCTTCGAAGCTGCGAAGAGGGTGTTAATTGGCCGAAAGTCATCAAATGATGTAGATTTGCCGTGCTTAGGAATGGGCAGAATGTGTGATTCCTTCCACAAGGTAGGATTAGTTTCAGTTTCAAGAGCAAGATTAAATATCTTGCATGAGGGATGGGAAGATCGTGTTTGCATCGGCTTTTAAAATGCTTACTGGGACACCATCAGGGTCTGGACTATAAGATTGACGAAAACGCCGAATCGCAACAGTCACATACCACAGAGTGAAAGTTATAGTTTTTAGAACTGCCCCGGTCAATGGCTGGATGGTCGGAAGCGGAGTGGTCAGGTCTTCAATGAACGTTTTGGACAGGAAATCATTGAAGCTATCAGCGGTTAACTGTGCATCAACTATGGGATTTCCGAGAGCGTCTCAGAGGATGGGATGCTGTGTCTTTCTATGAGTTCGTATTTTTCTAGAGAAAAGTATCGAGACATTTAACGAATGGTTTTCGGTAAACTGGACCTCTACGGCTAGCTGTTTTCCTTCAGACAATCTCTTAGCTCGATCAAAAATATCACGAATCAAGGGCAGGACAGAAACATCGTTCTGAAGATGGAAACGACGATAAAGCCCGCACAATCTGCGACGAAAGGGTAAGGGTAGGAAAACCTCATCCCCAACATTAATAATTTTCGTACGGGGGACAAAACGAGAAATAAGCGGATCAAAAATTTCGTACAGATTTGCAGTGCAAACATTTACATCCGAACTAAGGAAGAAATCAGCCCAGTCGTAGGAATTAAGGTGTGATAATAATTCGGTTGAGCGAGTTGATCGGAAATTGCGGAAAAAGCTATACTTTGGGGGCGACGTTTTGTCAGCCTCGAATTCCAACGTTGAAACAACTATGTCATGGTCTGAGCCCCCCAGTAGGCCTAGGGATGACACCGACGATGGCATGCAGCCTCTACAGAAAATTAGGTCATGTATGCTTGAGCCTCGGGTAGGAAAATCCACGGCCTCAAGAAAGTCTTCGAACCTTCTTGGGCCTGAAGGCGGAGACCAGCGGACTTCGGGAAGATTAAAGTCACCCGCAATCAATTGATACTTAAAGCTTGAGTCGGCCGCAGCATGAAATGCCTGTGACAGTAAACGATCAAAATTGTCAGTGGCGTTGCGAGGACGATAGACGCAGCCAACAAGTAAGGAGAACTTAATTTTTAGTGCAACCTGGAGCCAGCAGCTGCCTTCTACTGCGGAGAAATCGGGAGGTCCAACGGCAAAAATGTAAGCGTTTGCTTAACGTAAACGCAGCTGCCTCCACCACGGCTATCTTGGCGATCATTTCGGATGCAATTATAGCCTAGAAGCGAGAGTTTGGAGTCAGCTACGGAGGCTGATGCCCACGTCTCAGTTACTAAAACAATATCTGGACAACGGACGAGCACCAGAGTCTGAAACAAAGGCATCTTATTAAGCAAGGATCTGGCATTTAAAACAAAAAGTTTGAAGGGAAAGGCTGTTTGTTTCTGAGGTAAGTGGGTTACATCGTCCAGTTCTGGGCTGCCTACGGAGCAAATGGTCAGGATGCAACCATCCGGTTTTGCAAACAATTTTGTGGCATCGAAAAATTCTGACGTGGATAAAAAGGGGTAGGACTTGGAGGAGAGAATGACGGGCAGGTGATCTGATAACCATTGTTAGCTAACTTATTTTCAGCTGGAAATCCGCTGGCCAGATTCTGCAACGCATTCTCGCCGGAACGAAACTGAGGATCGGATGAATTAACTGATTCAGTATGGACATTATCATGAGGAATAAATTGGTAAAACGGCCGTGGAGGAAACAAGTTGGGGGGTGGGGGACGCATTGTTTCCGCTGGAATAAGAGTTTTATTAAACGGCGGAAAAATCGGCATATTCGGCCTAAATGCCGCGATATGAAGGCTGGGGGGCAGTTGCGAATCAGCTACGTTTTGAGTCGGGGTATTTGAAGCACTGTTAGCCGATTGTGGAGGAAAAGAGTCGAACAAGACTGGCCAGCATATGGTATTAGGTACGGGATTCAAAACGGAAATTGTCGAGGCAGAATTCCTAAAACAGATGAGGCTATCCGCCTCGAAGTGGCGCAAGGTAGAGGAACCTGGACGCGGTCGCTCACAGCCCTTTTAAAGTCCAGCCGAGGAGAGAACACCAGATGCTAGGGCGGTGATCAAAGTGAAGGGGGGACAATGTCACCCTGAGACCTCTTCGCTGACCGGGCAAACTATTAAAAAATGGTAGAAGCAGAGGATTCCGCTGTGATCGTCAACAGAACATTTGAGGTTGAAATGAGTTGTTGACATCAAGAACCGTAAAAATCATCGATCGGGGTTTTCAGTGGACTTTATCAGATACACAAATGTAGTGTAGTGGCTGGTCTTGATTTCCTGCACTCCCCTGTATTTGGTATTCTACAGAACTCACTTTCATGGTCCCGCGATGCTTGTGGAATCGCATTGCGATTGCGAAATAAGTCCCTTTTCTGCATAAATGCGCATCCAGACAATTGTGTATAACATGGACGGTAAATGTGTGTCAATGGTGGCGTCCATGTACTGGTCGTTGTAGGTCGCTCACTTGCTTGCTGGTGTTGGCTACGCCTAGTGCCTAGTAGTTGGTATCACAGCCTCACCTGTTGCTCCTCGAAGCTGGGCCCAGCCTAGCGGCCACATTCCGGCAACCGTCTCGACCGGAGGGCCAAACCGGATGAGGGTATCCGTGTGCGTATCCCCACACACGGTGTCTCTGCTTCTCTTCCTGTCTCCCCTCTCCTCTCTCCCCTTCCTCTCTTCACTTCCCGCCCCCTCTTAACCTCCCCCTCTTTCCTCTTTAGCTTATTTAAATTTAAATTTAAATTTAAATTTAATTTAAATTTAATTTAAATTTAAATTTATTTAAATTTAAATTTAATTTAATTAAATGCCAGTTTACAGGCATTGTCAAGGGAAGCGATTAAACACAAATCTTCCGCTCTACCTTCTGCTCTGTTCACTCTCTTGTCTACTCCTTCCCACCGCTTTTGAAGTCCCACGGCGAGGGCGACATGCAATCGCGTATGCGGCCAGGCCAATCAGGTCGTTCTCAGTGGACTTTATCAGATACACAAATGTAGTGTAGTGGCTGGTCTTGATTTCCTGCACTCCCCTGTATTTGGTATTCTACAGAACTCACTTTCATGGTCCCGCGATGCTTGTGGAATCGCATTGCGATTGCGAAATAAGTCCCTTTTCTGCATAAATGCGCATCCAGACAATTGTGTATAACATGGACGGTAAATGTGTGTCAATGGTGGCGTCCATGTACTGGTCGTTGTAGGTCGCTCACTTGCTTGCTGGTGTTGGCTACGCCTAGTGCCTAGTAGTTGGTATCACAGCCTCACCTGTTGCTCCTCGAAGCTGGGCCCAGCCTAGCGGCCACATTCCGGCAACCGTCTCGACCGGAGGGCCAAACCGGATGAGGGTATCCGTGTGCGTATTCCCACACACGGTGTCTCTGCTTCTCTTCCTGTCTCCCCTCTCCTCTCTCCCCTTCCTCTCTTCACTTCCCGCCCCCTCTTAACCTCCCCCTCTTTCCTCTTTAGCTTATTTAAATTTAAATTTAAATTTAAATTTAATTTAAATTTAATTTAAATTTAAATTTATTTAAATTTAAATTTAATTTAATTAAATGCCAGTTTACAGGCATTGTCAAGGGAAGCGATTAAACACAAATTCTTCCGCTCTACCTTCTGCTCTGTTCACTCTCTTGTCTACTCCTTCCCACCGCTTTTGAAGTCCCACGGCGAGGGCGACATGCAATCGCGTATGCGGCCAGGCCAATCAGGTCGTTCTCTGATTAAACCAATAGGCGACCCATGGTGGACAGCTGAAGCCGTCTGGGACAACCAAAGCAGCCCTAAGTGGCACTGTTTACACAAGCCAGGGTAAGGGGGCATAAAATATGCCTCAAACAAATACCGGCTTGACGATATCTGTGCGCAGACCGTGGCTCCGCAGACTGCAGTACCCGCAGTCGAAACAACCGAACGAAAAACGACAATCTCTCCCTTCTACCTCCTCCCCCCCGTCCGACCCCACAGGCTGCTAAGGTGAGCCGTCTCAGTTGGGCAGCCTGGGATGTTCGTCCCCTTTAAACAATCCCAAGAGAAACCTCCCGGAACGGCGAACGGCGTTTGTTGCTCGGGAACAGGTGCCTTTCAAGTTGTAAATTGTCGCACTTACCAAAATCCGGTTCTACAAAGAAGGCCAACTGGAGGAGATGAGTACCGGTTGTCGCAAGACAGAGTGATGAAACGCGAGCGTGACCTTTCCATCGGGAATGGCATGGTCGGACGGCCGCCCTATCTGTCTCAGTCATTCAACGGTCGTCTGATTAGACTCCGCCTGCTTCTTTCGGGAGACCATTTTGCCGCCGTCATCAGCGTCTAAACCCCCCGATGACTAACTTGTCGAGGCGAGCAACAAGTTCTATGATGACCTGAACGCACTCCCAGTATCTGTGCCGGAGTCGGATTAATTAATTGTACTTGGTGACTTCAACGTCCGCGTCGGCACAGACCGTGCTGCCAGGAAATTAGTGCTGGGTCCCCGTTGTATCGGCGGCTACAGTGACAATGATCTGGTCCTCCTAGAAAGCTACGTATATCATCACTTTATCCTGACCAACACCTTCATCCGTCTCCCAACGCGGGAGAAGGCAACCTGGATGCACCTTCGTTGCGACACTGGCATTTGCGGGACTCTCTCTCCATCCTGAAGCGGGAACAGCAAGGCATGCTGATGACCAAGGTAATTCGGGTGATGACGGCTGGGCCAACAATGCCTCGTTACCCCCAAGTTCAGGATCTGGCCACAGTCACGCAGGAGACTTCAAGATAAGCGATTGCCAGGTAATATGGCTAATGTTGTGCTGAGTGCGCCTGCTCACCATCTTACTTTCTGCAACCAGCCAGCTCAACGTCTAGCCAACCTTCGAGTCCTGGCTGCCGACGAGGACGTCTCCGTAGATATAAGCGGTATAAGCTGAAGGTTAGCATCTAGTCAATCGCCCTGGCTGTCCTCAGCCGCGCTCGTCGCCTGAACAAGAACTGGCTCGAAGACAAAGACGCCGTCATCAGCAGCCTGCTCGCCGAGAAGAACCGTTCACACAATGCCTACGTCAACCGCCCCACCGACGAAGACAAGGTAGCCTTCTACTCTAGTCGCCGCTCTGTGCAACAGCAGCTGCCGGAGATGCCGGATGCCTGGATGACTCACAAGACCCAGAAGATTCAAGGGCACACGGAGCGCAACGAATGGAAAAACCTCTTCGCCGCGATCAGGACTGTGCCCAGTCCCACAGCCATGGAAAGCCTCCTTTCCTCAGCGCCGAAGGAACTACCTCACTCTGTGATAGGGTGCAAATTCTGAAGAGCCTCCTCAAACGCCCTTCCATCATCTTCGTAGTCACCACCAGCAGATTTTCCCCAATTGAAACCACCGCGGACCCCGACCTCCCTCCCTTCCTCTCTCAACAAAACCATCAGGGCCATGCAACAACTCTGCAGCGAGAATGCGTCCGGATCGGACGCAATCCCTGTTGTGATTTAGAGTCACGGCGGCCCCCAACTTATGAATCACCCGAAAAATGACGTCCAAATGACGTCAAAATTCTAGAGCGAACACGCGGGCAAAGTATACGGGGCATTTGTGCGGCCGCACCTGGAATATGCGGTACAGGCTTGGCAGTCGTGGCTTCGGAAGGATATAGATATCCTTGAAGGTGTACAACGGCCTGCTACAAAGGCTGTCCATGGCCTCAAAAACTTCACGTACGAGCAGCGCCTGACGGCCTCGAACCTTTATCCCCTCCACTACAGGCAGGACAGAGGTGGCCGCATAGCAACGTTCCAGTTGGTAAAATGACTTAATCTGCATGTCGACTGGGAAACGTTTTTTTGAAATGGCACCCAAGTTCAAACTCAGAGGACATTATTACCAGCTTAATAGGGAACTGTGCCACACAAATAAATCTGCCTCCTTTCTTCTCACAGAGGGTCATTCGCCACTGGAACTTTTTGCCGGAGTTTGTTGTTGATTCTCCTACAGTGAACACGTTCAAGAGACAACTGGATACTCACCTGCTGAAAGGCAACCCGAACTGCCGAAGCCTGATCTAACGGATTACTGCAATGACTATAAATATACTACTAACAGGACTTCAACAGATCCTAGTTCGTACGTCAAACTTAGCCCATATTGAAATTTTCACAGTCCGAATGTGGTGAACAATGTTTTTTGCAATTATTTCGCGAGTATAATACTCCTTTCGCCTTTATGTTGCATTCTTAGTTTTATGAATTCTCCTTACTAAAAATTCAAGCAAAACTTTTGCAATTTAACTATTTTCCCTTATATCTGTACCTTATAAATGGAGTTTTCAGGGCTTCTGTCTTTTAATCCAAATAAACTGACTGATACTGACTGAGCATACTATCCTCGAAGCCCTTTCCTGAGTTATCAAGGGAATTATCTAGTAGAACCATGCGTGAATGCGCCGAAATTCCGTATTCACTGACGTAATCCAGAATTATACAAATAATACGTCCTCGTACGGCTAATGGTACAGAGTTTATTCAGCTACCCGAGTCAAACGTCGATGTATGAGTATTATCACAGCGATCATAATAGTGGCAATATTCACGTTGAATATCAACTTACACGCACCATCAAAATAAATGTACGATATGGATCGAGTGGGCACTGAAAAAATTTCTATACATTATATTAGGCTTTGGGTGATTTTGGTTAGCCAGGTGAAAAACTGCTGCCCACTGTCCAGGACGGTAATAATTGGCTGGTTTTTGTGGTCTCCATCATTTTCATGGAATTGGAACTCTGTTCCAGGCGATGGTGCCCACCGCCAGTTGACGGACTTATTCTTTGGGTGGCAGATTTCGGAGTCGACACCATTCCTCACGAAATGAGACCAGGCAGACAAATTAATTACCACGAATTCTGTGACCACAACCGACGGCTTAAGGGGATCCGACACACAGAAATGTTGGAAAGTGTTTTGAGTGCAGAACGCGAGTGATGGCTCGTTTGAACAAAGAATAACTTTGCAAAATGTATATGTTCCTGAGTAACTCATTCCAGATTTCAATTATGTCGACAGAGAAGAACTAACGGTAGGCAACTACGGATGCCAAAGGAAGGAATCAAACGACCTTGCGGTGAATGCTACTTCGGGATTGGTCCAGATATTTCAAGGTAGTAAACGGATTAAGGATACGGCTGTTCGTATTTCGAGAATTTACAGCAGTTCCTTTTACAATCGAAAAGCCATAAAAGGTAGGCTAAGCGCCTACAACAGGATTTCCAAGAGCGCCCAAATGAAGGTATGCTGTGTTTTTCTTAGAGTTCTAATTGCGCAATAAAACTTTTCGCGGTATTCAGCAAATGGTTTCCGGTAAACCTTGACAATCCAACAGATTGCATTCCTCGGACAGTCTTTTAACCCACTGAAAAATATAGTAGGCCAATTGTAGCCCCGAAGTGTCCTTTTTCAGATGGAAACAACAGGATAGTCTACGTAGCCTATGGCGAAAATATAAAGGAAGAAAACCTCATCCATGAAATTAGTTTTTTTCTTACAAGGAAGAAAACGATAGATAAGTGGGCCCGAAGCCTCATTAGTTTACTGGTATTATCAATTACGTGGGAACCCAACACCAAATCAAGTCAATCGTATGAATGACAGAGAAAGCTACATTTTTGGAAAATGTCGTCAGCTTCCAAATTTATGATAGAAAAATACATGCCGTAGTCTGAACATCCTAATGGGACAAAAGACAATGCTAGCGAAGGCGAGCACCCTCTACAGGAAAAAGCATCATATATGTTTGAGCATTGATTTAAAAAATCGTAAATCCGATTTTACGTCGTCTCAAGTAAAGCTTCTCACAGCACCGAATGGTGGAATCCTGCAGATATCAGGAAGATTGAAACTACTCGCAATTAATTGTCACGGTCGCTTTATGGAATGCCTATGAGGGACAAATATCGAAGTGCTCACTGGCTTTGGGTGAACAATAAACAACCAACAACAACCAAGTACCATTTCCCAAGAGACTCTAAGACGGCAGTTGACTTCTGCTGCGGAAAAATATGGAAGATCCAGCAATGCAGATCCCTGTTTAACGTGGATTTAAGACACCACTTTGGCTGTCTTGACGATTATTTCGATGGCAGTTTAGTCTTGAGAGGGACGGTCCGCCGTTATCTACGGAGGAAATTGCCCCCATCTCAGTTACACAAGCAATATCTGGACAGTAGACGAATACCTGAATCCAAAACAAAAGCATCCCTCACTTCCCTTCATACCATTCGCATAATGTCTACAATATGCCAGTTAAGTTTGATGATCATATCCCATTAAGAGACGATGTCACCGAGTTATCCAATATAACTTTTGGCTGTCTAGCACCGCAGTTTCAAGCCACATGTATTCTTTTTGCCAGTCCGAAACTTGAGTCTAGAAAATGGATAGTAAATATCTATGGATGGAGTAAAAATGTACAGATAGTTAAAAAGAATATAAGAGAGTTAACAAGCAGAAGATAAATGATCTGGTTGCTTTTTAACGTCGTTCTATGCGCAATATTCGTAGGCGGCCGAGAAAAGGTATTCAAATCGAAAGTGAGGACTGACGGAGTTTTCAAATTCAAATTTTTGGCCAAGAAGACAGTTACTTCAAGAATTCTCGGAAAGCCGGCATTCGTAGAATATTTTGAGTAGTTCAACTGCTAAACCTGAAATTCTGAATATAAAACGTCAACGAACTCCGTTCCTTAGGTTGCGAAATAGCATGATCTCGAACTCTAATGACAAATCCTCAGCTCTCATGCTTCTTCAACGAAGAACACTTAATAAGCGCAGAGCGATCGTTACGTGGAACAAAATGTTGCTTATCGCAAAGTATGCAGTAGCTTAGATATGTAGACTCCGCAGTAAACACTCAAAAACTCCTGTAGACGTACGGGATGACCGGCCACAAATGGTTGTACGAAATAATCACACTGTTAGATGCCTGGCTTCCTAAAGATTCTCAAACACCAGCTCTTAATAAAAGAATTTCGTCTGTTTGCTTTGTTTTAGCTAAATATTCCTCGTCCTACCATAACTAGGTTTTGTGCGCAAAGGCGATACGCAGCCTTTGCAAAACCCCCAGGCCAACTATGGGGCCCACAGCATTTATTCCTTTGGATCGTGGTAAGAGCTTTAGAAAAATAAGAGGGACCTGGACACATGCCTTGGAAAACCGGCTGCCAAGAGCATTTGAGCGAGGCATTTAGACCTTGAAAAGTTTGTTTCTTTGTTTCAAAGTGATAATTATTGATAGAACGCGCCGAGTTGGTACATCTTATCCACGCATGAAAACAAAACATGCTGGTCTGTCAAAAGGACAAGTGTTACGCATTTCTAGCAATCTTCGGATCTATTCTTATTATTTTGACATTCGGAAACTTCTATTCTGTTGGTAATAAAAATTTAACAATAATTCAAAGGCAATATGTCACCATATATTATGTCCTACATTCATGAAGAAGTAGACAATAACGTAGTAAACAACCAAGCCGTCTGGTTATCGGCCGCCTGTCTTGCCGTCCAGGGCCTTTTTATGCCGTTTGCTGGCATGCTTGCGATGAGGTTTGGATTTCGAACATTGACAATATCAAGTTGCATATTGTTCAGGTACTATACATATCGAAAAAAATTAATTATTTAATAACCGTTTTCTCATAAGATAAATTATACATATTTTATACGAGGTAAATCATTTTTAAATGTAGGATCAGTATGGATGACGAGGAATTCGTAATAATTTTTTTATTAAAGTGCTGTATTTGTCCCCTTATTTTCATAGCTGCACCCGCTGCTATAAGAATACGAAGGGCTAACGAAGTAACTACACCTAGTGAACTGCTTGATAGCGTGAAATGTTAATTGTTAAGATTAGATGTTTGCTCCTCTTCCAACTTCTTCGGATTGAATTTAAACGTTTTGCAGGCAGAATATTCTACCTGCACATGGCTTTTCCTGCTAAAAAAGAAGTATATATGCTCGATAATTATAACTATTTAATTTGTCTATACTGCTCCCGCCGAGGAACATTTGAATCAGTCAGCCGCCTTAATATGCGAATTTTATCCATGTAAAATCAAAATAAACTTCCTGATTAAACGAAACAGTGCATTAATTTTCGATTTGTAGAGAAAAATCTCTATTATGGTAGCGAGTGCTGTATTATCCTTATAAGGTCAATACGGCAGGATTGCCTACAACTTCACTTTGGGGACGTTATCTTAAGCTGCACATCTTAATCCAGAGATTCTGCTCGGGTTCAAAATTCATAATATCTTTGACTT